CGCCGGCTACGGCTACATCACCACCGCCCTGAGCACTCCGCTCTTCGAAAACGGCGACATCTGCGGAGCGTGCTTCGAGATCCGGTGCGCCGGTGGCGCGGGATGCCTGCCGGGCAATCCCTCCACCGTCGTCACCGCCACGAATCTCTGCCCCCCGGGGAGCAACGGCGGCTGGTGCGACCCGCCCAAGCCCCACTTCGACCTCTCCCAGCCCGCATTCAGCAGGATCGCGAGCATCCCAAATGGCCACGTTCAGCTCCAATACAGGAGGTAAGAGAGAGCGCTCACTCACTGCTTAACTCACTCACTCTCACTCAGTTGACTAAATGACTTGAGTCGTTGACTAGTTCACCTTTTGACTTGACGATGACTAAAAGCTTCAATGCAGAGTTGCGTGCGATAGGCAAGGAGGGATTCGCTTCACGGTCAACGGCCACACCTTCTTCAACCTTGTCCTAGTGGAGAACGTTGGCGGTAGCGGCGACGTGGTGGCAGTGGAGGTGAAGGGCTCCGCCACCGGGTGGCGGCAAATGCAGAGGAACTGGGGCCAGAACTGGCAAGACATGGGCGACCTTAACGGCCAGGCGCTCTCCTTCCGGGTCACCGGGACCGATGGGAAGGTGGTCACGTCCATGAATGTGGCTCCCGCGGACTGGCAGTTTGGCAGAACTTACAGCGGCGGCCAGTTCTGATCAGCGAGAGATCCACGAACACAAATTCCACAGCTCTAGGGAGATTGGAGAAAGCGTGATTTTTGAAGAGGAGGTGACCATACTGGCACCCACTTCGTAGCGAAACCCGATTCTACACATCCCATTTGTATCAAACAAAGCGATCAATGACACGTTGATTTATTTTATCAGCGCTCTTCCAATTCCACGGTTTTGGAAGCCAAACCTTCCACCTTGTTGATATCCTAGAAGGACGCAACGTCGCCCACTTCGGTGGTGATCCTGGAGTTCACGGCCGAGCACTTCTTCCTTATCTCCCCGTTGGCTCTCGTCTTCCACTCGATGTTTCCCATGTTGATCATCGACTGCGCGAACATGGAGCGGAACGTTGGCGGGTTCTGAGCGAGCGAGTTGATGAGATTGGCAGCGTCCGGGTCGGTCCGGAGCACCGCGTCCGACGAAAGCAGCCCCCTGTTGGCCTCGAGGTTCCTGTAGTAAGCGTTGTCGAAGCTAAACTCCGAGTTCCTGTCTAGCGCCACCGTCGGGCTCGGGTTTGCTCCCTGCGGGCAAATACGCCGGAGCTCCTCGCGGTACGTAGCGTCCAGGCTTGGGTCGGGACGTCCGGTGTTGTTAAAGTTGTAGACACGAGTCTCGACGAATCTACACTTCGCGCGACCAATGGTGTGTCCGCCTGTTATTGCAATGTTAGTGGGTGGAGAGTTCTAGCTTCAAGAGAAGCTTCTTACCGGAGAGCAGCACGAGGTCATGAACTGACAAGCCTTTGCCCCTGAAGATGTCTCTCAGCCGACTGAACGAGGAAGCGGGACCCGGTAAGCTGTTGGCTTCTGTTCTGCTAGAGATTCGTCCGTCAAGGCGACCCGTAGGCACAGTGTAGAACATCCCTCCAAACTACATAAATTTGCCGGCAAAGTCAAAGAGAAATCAACAAAAGCCGACTTGTGCTTACGTAGGTTGTCGCGTCCCTGGCAGCAAACGCAAGCACATCCGCACAGCTCACAACTCCCGGGCACACAGCCTCCAGGCGAGTTTTTGCGGCCTCGATAATCTCGAAACCACGAGCAGAGTTGTTGTTCCCGAGCGCGAACATCTCCACATCTCTGCCAGCAGTAGGAGTGGATTCCAAAAGTATCGATCCATCGCACCCCTGGACAAATGAGTCACATTCGTCACAACTCACATACATAAAGCTGCTAAGACGATGAACTTACCTGGACAAAGCAGTCATGGAAGAACAAGCGGATAATCCCGGCTGGTGCTGTTGGATCCCGGTCAGCTGCACTCTTGACAGTGGCCGCGACTATCTGTTCAGCGCTCGGACAAGATCGAGCATAGCTGTGAAGAGAATCGGGAGCAGACGCAGAAAAAACTGCTGCTACGAGGAGTCCAAGGCAGAGAAGTTGCATTGAAGCCATAGAGCTAATGCAAAGCCAAGCTTCTGCAGATATGTATACATATACACATATGCCACACAGGCACACGCAGGCGCCCACCCGAGACTCCAGGGGCCGCTCAAGGAAGTCTGGTTGCTCTGCGTGGTCGTGAAGACACATACACTATCGGCTGCCAGCTGTGGACCGAATAGAAAATACAGCGTCCTTTGGTACATGAACTTGTCAGACGAGCTTGGCTTTTGCGTTGCTTTCTCGATTGACGAATATTAGTGTGTCTAATGACCTGTCCTTACTCTCAGCTGGGCCAATGGAAAGCTTTTTAGACCAGCTATCTCTCTACAATAAAGGGGCCCAGTTGGAGGTGTATACATACTTTGTTCGCGTGCATGTCCACGTCAAAGTGCAACGGGGACAGGGGTGGTGGTGTGGACATGGGAATTTCGGCGTTACCTTGTTGTCTTTGCTCGCCCACTTATCCATCGCTCCAAGTTCCGTGTCGAGACCTTGTTGTTGGCTTGAATGAACGTACGATACGCTTTAGCGTATCGTGTGGGCCGCATTCTTGCTCTTGTAGCCGCAGTCGAGAACTGCGAGGCGTCATCTTGTTGACGGCTTGTACGGTCATCCTTTTGCCTTCGTCAACTTCGTTCCCCCATGAATCTCTGTCCCCCGGGGAGGGCGGCTGGTGCGAGCCCCACCAGCAGGATCGCGATCATCCCAAACGCCACGCATCCACACAATTTAATCAATAATGTCGTTGGGTGAAGGGCCACACCTGCTTCAACCCTGGCGGCAGCGGCGACCTGGTGGCGGTCGAGGTGAGGTGGCCATTGGTCATGTCCTTGAACGTTGCGGACTGGCAGTTTGGGAGAACTTACAGCGGTGGCCAGACCACGCTCTAGAGAGTGATTTTTGAAGAGGATCGAACCCCGATTCTATCCGTATGAAATATTTTCACAGTTTACAATTGTTCCAAAGTGAACCAGTGACACATTGATTTATTTTTCCATCGCTCTTCCAATTGGCCAAGACAAACCGTCCACCCTTGTTGATTGATATCCTAGAAGGACGCAACGTCGCCCACTTCGGTGGTGATCCTGGAGTTCACGGCCGAGCACTTCTTCCTTATCTCCCCGTTGGCTCTCGTCTTCCACTCGATGTTTCCCATGTTGATCATCGACTGCGCGAACATGGAGAGGAACGTTGGCGGGTTCTGAGCGAGCGAGTTGATGAGATTGGCAGCGTCCGGGTCGGTCCGGAGCACCGCGTCCGACGAAAGCAGCCCCCTGTTGGCCTCGAGGTTCCTGTAGTAAGCGTTGTCGAAGCTAAACTCCGAGTTCCTGTCCAGCGCCACCGTCGGGCCCGGGTTTGCTCCCTGCGGGCAAATCCGCCGGAGCTCCTCACGGTACGTAGCGTCCAGGCGTGGATCGGGACTTCCGGTGTCGCTAAAGTTGTAGATACGATCCTCGACGAATCTACACTTTGCGCGACCAATGGTGTGTCCGCCTGTAAGTTACGGCAATGTTGGTGGAGATTTCTAGCTTGAACAGAAACTTCTTACCGGAGAGCAGCACGAGGTCATGAACTGACAATTTTTTGCCATCGAAGATCTCTCTCAGCTCACTGAACGGCAACCTGGGGCCGGGTAAGCTGTCGGCTTCTGTTCTGCTAGAGATTCGTCCGTCAAGGCGACCCGTAGGCACCGTGTAGAACATCCCTCCAAACTACATAAATTTGCCGGCAAAGTCAAAGAGAAATCAACAAAAGCCGACTTGTGCTTACGTAAGTTGTCGCGTCCCTGGCAGCAAACGCGAGAACATCCGCACAGCTCACAACTCCCGGGCACACAGCCTCCAGCTGGGTCTTTGCCGCCTCGATAATCTCGAAACCACGAACAGAGTTGATGTTCGGGCGCGCGAACATCTCCACATCTTTCCCATCAGTAGGAGTGGATTCCAAAAGTATTGAAGCATCGCACCCCTGGACAAATAAACACATTCGTCACAACTCACATACAAAGCTGCTAAGGACGACGAGCTTACTTGGACAAAGCAGTCGTGGAAGAACAAGCGGATAATGCCGGCTGGTGTTGTTGGATCCCGGTCCGCCGCACTCTTGACAGTGGCCGCGACTATCTGTTCAGCTCTCGGACAAGATTGAGCATAGCTGTGAAGAGAATCGGGACGAGCAGACGCAGAACAAGCTGCTGCTATGAGGAGTAGGCAGAGAAGCTGCTGCGGGGACATTGAAGCCATAAGAGCGGAACTGCGAATGATGAAAAACCAAGCTTTCTGAGGACATATATACGCCACGCACCAGACACATGCCAGCGGCCACCCAAGACTTTAAGTCCAGTTTGACAACTATGGGGGCTGCTTGAGGAACTCTGCTTGGTTTGCGTGGTCATGGTGGACGTGGGAGCCACACAAACAGTCGGCTGCCAACAGTGGACCGAATAGAAAATGAATTTGCTGCAGCCTTTTTTGATAATTGTGAACTGGTAAGACGAGCTTCGGCTTTCATTTGCGTTTGTTCTTGGACTGATTTGCCTGATGACTTGTCCTTCTTAGCCTCGTAGAGCCATGTAATCTTCACACCGACACGCCAAGTCTGTACAGCCAAAGATTTATCTTTTAGGATAGGCATATGGTACTGTACGATACCGCGAAGATGTTGAGGAAAGTTCAGCTAGTGAGGTGTAGTCACTCTAGGCAAAAGAACGCTTTTAAAGCGAGCTGGGCCGGTAGCAGCTTTTTAAACTAGCTGCCTCGCCACTGGATGGTGTTCTTGTCAATCACTTCGGCTAAGATGCTTACTTACTTTCGCTTTGTTCACGTGCGTGTCCTCGTCAATGAAGGGCAACTGAGTGCTGAGCTTGTGGTCGAAAGTATTGCCCGTGCTATTCATGCGACCGATATAATAGCTCGAAGAGAATCAAAATCATTCAAGGGATGAATTCGACCAGTACTCTGCTACTAATCGGCAAAACAGGGAGGATTTGTTCCCCAACAGTTTTGCAGGTCTGTCGAACTCCATCAGCAATCCTGAAAAGATTCACTCAGAGGTGTAAGTATTATCGCCCCGATGGGTTCTGCGTACCATCTTCAAGCGCCAGAACCATGTCGCTACTAATCACAGTTGGGATTCTGTGAGCGACTGTGATCGTTGTGCATTTGCCAAACTCGTCTCCGAGCACTTTTTGGAGAACTGCGTCGGTGGTATTGTCGATGGACGCCGTTGCCTCGTCAAGCACCAGGATCTGGCTGCGCTTTAAAAGCGTACGAGCCAAGCAAAACAATTGTCTCTCTCCCACGCTCCAGTTCTCGCCGTCGTCTCCAACTATGAAAATGTAGCTGTCACTCTCGGCTTCAAACTAAAGAGAGCCTTACCAAAGGACTCCAGCTTGAGATTTTTCTCTCTCACACTTTCTCCAAGTTGGCATTTATCCAAGGCCTGCAACATACAACAACAGTCGTAAAGAAAACGATGAAATAAAATCGATCGACCTCCCAAATCTTTTGATCAGTGTACTTGGAAAACGGATCCAGGTTGAAGCGGACGGTGCCACGAAACAATGTTGGTTCTTGAGGGATTATACTCAGCCTAGATCTCAAGGCTGTAACGCCAATGGTCATAATATCAACTCCATCTATAAGTATTCGTCCACCGGCTGGATCAATAATGCGAAAGAGCGCACTAATGAGAGTAGTCTTTCCGCTGCCAGTCCGTCCTACGACTCCGACTTTCTGACCACTTTCAAAAGTACACGTGATGCCACGAAGCACGAGAGGTGCGTCTGCACTGTATCTAATCTGGAAAACAGGTATGGTGGAAAAAGAACTATAATGAAAGTGAAATACCTGGAGGTTGTGAAGCTCTACTTTCCCCTCACTTGGCCAAGACGGCCAGAGTCCAGTTTTAGAGGAAGTTTCAACAGGTAAAGATAAGTACTGCTTAATTCGTTCGACCGAAATAATCATGTTAGCCAGGTTGCACTGGTTTTGCACGCTCGCAACCTGAGAATTGTTTAAAGACAGACCGTAAGAAAGTACAAGCCCAACAAATCCTGGGAGTAAAGAAAAGAGATCAGTCAATTCACGAACACGAACGATCGTACCGCTCACCAGGAGAAATTGTACCAGGGGGCAAAATAACCATAATCAACGCGGAGGAGCAAAGAACAGCAGACCACAGCGACTCCAGCCTTTGAATAAGCCACTCTCTTGCAGCAAAATTGTGGAAGAAAGGACTCGTATTAGTGTCAATCATATCCAGAATCTTCCTCGTGAAATCCTCCTGCTTGCGGAAAGCTCTTATTGTAGTAGCACCTGATATAGCTTCTCCGAAGTAGTTCAAAATCGGTGCCTTTGTAGTTCCGTTGATTCTCATCAGCTCACGAGCAGATGCCAAGTTATAAACCTGGCCTTGACACAAGATTTAAACAGTCAGTTCTCAGAAACCAAATGCTCTGTTACCACCTGTAAGAGTCTGTTGATGTACATCATGGGGACAACGATCACCAGAATCTGCCATGTTACAGAAGATGTCATTCCCAAGTTAGCTAAAGCACTCAGGAAGGCCGAGATTGAAAACCCAAAGGAAAACGGAATATCGAGGTCCAAGATGCTCAAGTCCACTGAGAGCTGGCAAGTCGAAGTTAGTTTAAGTAGTGAACAGGAAGAAACCATTACCCGACTTAGTATTCGGCCGCTTGGTGTGGAATCGAAAAAAGACATTGGTGCTGAGAATAAAGAATCCATTGTGCTGTTGAAGAACGACCTCGATGCTGCCAGTCCCATAATAACAATGAGAACCGATCGAATGAAGAGGAAAGCTCCCGTTGTCAACCCAATTGCAGAATACACACCTATGAGTTTTCCTGTATTTGTCTCTGAACTTTCAACCTCAGAAGCCATCCACCAGTTAGAAGCCATCTGACCCGAGAGAAAGACAATGTATGAAAGTGTGGATAGCCCGTAGTAAAAGAATCCGTTGGCTTGCTTCATGTAGTCCAAGTAGGCAGCATTACCAGATTCTTTCTTCTCGTCCTTGGTTAGCTGATTAAACTTCGAAGCTTCAGGTGTGCAATCTTCACCTTTCCGATGCTGAAGACCCGTCTTCTTCGATACGGTTGTCGTGCCTCTCGCGTCCAAAGAGGACATTACATCCTTGTGTGCCATCACGAGATCCCGAAACACGGCGCCTCGCGCAAGAAGGTCATCATAATTTCCAAACTCCAAAACTTCTCCATTCTGCATCACCTGCATGAGCCATCAAGCGATGATAATCGCGGAAAGCACAAGTACAACACTCACCAAGATGGCATCAAACTTTTGAAGAAACTCGACCTGGTGCGTCACAAGGATGACAGTCTTCTGAGACAGAACTCCAAGAATACAGTTCTGCAGAGCATCACAAGTAAGAATTGAAAAGCTGTACAAGGTCAAGTACCTTGAAAAGCGAAGATCCGGTTTGTGCATCCACGGCACTAAACGGATCGTCCAAGAGGTAAACAGACGCGTCTTGATAAACTGCACGAGCAAGTTGAATGCGTTGCTTCTGCCCGCCGCTCAAGTTAAGTCCCCCCTCTCCGATCTCAGTCAAGTCACCGAAAGGAAAGCTTTCTATGTCCTTGTCCAATTCGCAAGCTTTCAGAGCCATAGCATAGCGATTATTGTCCATATCCATGCCAAATAAAACGTTGTCCCTGACTGTTCCAGATTGTACCCATGCTACCTGAGCCACGTACGCTATACTACCAGAGACTTTAACCTGCAAGTGAAAGGAGAAACATTCAAAGGCATTAGTATAAGTATTTTTTTCTTCTAATTGTTGTACCTTTCCGTGTAGCAGGGGAACTTCTCCTAGGATAGAGAGAAGTAATGTCGACTTCCCAGAGCCAACCTCACCGCACACTGCCACCCGTGATCCGTTGTGGACGGTCAGGTTTATATCTTTCAGCGTAGATGCCTCAGCTTTTGCCTTGCCTTCGTCCGGGTCCCAGCTAAGGCTGGCGTTGTGTATATGAATGTCGACGCCATCGCCACTAATGTCTCTTTCGATAGCTTTAGGATCAAGCTCTTCGTCTTGTAAGAAAGTTGAAACCCTTCCGAGGGAAACTCGTACTTGAACGATTGCGGAAATCACTTCCGGGACCAGCCTGATCGGCTCCTGGATTATCCTGAAGGTGGCCAGTGTCGTAAACACGTTGCTCGCATCCAGCGGGTACCCCGTAAGCCAGCAAACGATGAAAGTGCTCGTCGAAACCAGGACCGGCAGCAGCCAGAAGATGAAGGCATTGTAAGTTTTGCGGTACTGGACTTTGGACAGCCACACCAGCTCTTCGCCCCTCAGCTCCTTGATTCGGGCTTTAAACATCTCTTCCCAAGCTTGCAGCTTCACAGTCTTCATGTTTCGCAAAATGGCGGAAGTAGCTCTCATTCTCTTGTCCTGAGCACTCATGAGGCCGTTCTGGAACTTCCGCTGGAGCCTGGCCATGGGCCTGTTGGCCAGCATGGAGAGTCCTATGACCGTGAGACCTGCGAACGCTGGCGCTGTTCCAACCGAATGCACGAGAATCGCCCCTGCCATCGCGATCTGAAGCGGAGTAGTCCACACAACATGGACCCAGTAGCCGAATTCTCCTATCCTGTAAGCGTCCACAGCCATGTAGCTCATCACCTCGCCTGTGGCGTGAGTTCTCCGAGCGAGGCCCGAGAGCTTGAGCTGCTTGCTGTATAAAACTCCCATAACCGCGGAGCGCATTCGCATTCCCAGCCTCTTGCTTCCGAAAAGCCACTGCCTCTGGGAGACCGACTCCACCGCCTTTCCCAGGAACAAAACCAGCACCAGAAAATACCCCTGTGAGACGTTGCCACCCTTTGCTGTGCTCGCCACGAAAGTTTTGAGGACGAGAGGACCAGCCGTCACAGTGACGCATTTTCCCAATGCGTAGACGCCATTCTGGAGAAAGTTTTTCCAGTAGCACCGTCCGAGGGTCCAAAACAAAGATGGCTGGCTGCTGCTGCTGCTGCTGCTACTCCAGAGCTCCACAAAAGCCTTGTAATTTGTGTCTGCTCGATCCTCTGGAGCCACTCGAGGCATGTCCTCCTCTTCCAAAGTCTTTCTACTTCCCAGAGCTAGCAAAGGATTGAGCCACAGGAAATAGAGACGGCTGATCCATCCAGCTCCACTGATGAGGCAAACATTCTTGCTTCGAGCTTCGTCGTGTAGAAGAAGAGGCTCCTGGAGCCTAGCGCTTGCCTCTTCTTCGCTCTTCTTCTCTTTGATCGCCAAGAAAAGCAAGCTGATTGGAAATGCCGCAATATCCAGCACGAGCTTCCAGAATCCCGGCCCTGTTTCCTGCTGTGATCGATCACTAATCCTCACCACGGCCACGGCCGCCAAGCCCGTGGCAATCGCCGCGGCGCAAACCCTGACGTATTTCCCCGGAATCCGCCTCAGAGCGGCCGATGCAGCAAGAACCAGCCATGCCGATCCCTGCATTGTCGCGGGAATCCATCGCAGCGCCGGCCAGCGACGATTCTCTGCCAGAACGATCGCGAGATAGAGAAATCCCGCGGTGGCTGCCAACGTACCAGTGCAGATTCGAAGAAGCGCTTCCATCACCGCCGACATTGCTCGCGCTTGCTGGAGAACCGCCAGCTCCCGGAAAACTCCAAGCACGCACTGACAAAGGAAGAAGATCCCAAAATCATCATAAACCCTAAATTACGGACAAGGTGGAGGGATATGCTTAGTACTGAAGAATCTATTGGTCTTCTTTCTTTAAACTTCAGTGAATAACGATGATCAAACAAGCTAAAGGAGCTTCTTGTTTAGAGGTTAATCAGTATCTTATACAGAGTAAATGCTGTTAGTGAGTGACAGGCTCACTCCGCGGGAAGCTGGCCGTGCTCATGTCAAACCAATTCGAATGGCAGTCGTGCGCGAGGCTCTGCAGGAAAAAATCGTTTAGTTCTATCATCAACCTTCTGTAGGGATACCTGAGCCTGGGATCTAAAGTACATGAATGGAGTGAATCGAAGAAAATTTGAGACTCGAGAAGTATAGATATCTGCGTACCTGTCAAAGAAGAAACATAAGAACTGGAGAGAGAGAGACGAAATGAGCTTACTTCTCGATTTGTCTCATAAGATGGCTTTTGTCCCACAATCCAGCTCTGGAGAGGTAACCCCATCTAAAACGAGCGGTCATTAGCAGAGAAACGAAGACGGATGAAAAGTAAGCAAACCTTTTGTTGAAGTACTCTCCATCTGCCTCGAGCATTGGCGCAATCTTCTGATCGATGCGAGTCATTAGGACGAGCAAGTTTTGCATACTATCAGCCAGTTCGTCAGTGTCCATCGTCGTCGCGGCATTCGTCTACAGAGAAACAAAATCTCGGTTTGAAAGTTTCCAGCTCAAACATCTGCACAGACCTGTGCTTCACGTCCGCTATTACGGCGCTGAAGCGCAAGGCGGAGCTGATTGAAAACATCGCCTACAACTTCTTTTTGGTTCATGAGCTCGATGAGCTTCGCTCTATGGTCTTTACCGTATGCCAAGGCATTCACCTGGGTCCAAAACAAGTACAGGTAAGAGATTGAGAAAACGCATTTTCACCTCCTTTTCGAGCTCGGAACAAATGAGAGCAGTCCTCCACCGAAGGTGAACCTTGGATTGACTAACGTCAGTGTAGATATGGTCTCCAACGTAGAGCGTCTCGTCGCCGTGGACACCGAGAGCTTGCTCCACCATTTGCGCGCTACCACCACAATACAAACCACCTATAAGGCAAGCCGGAAATTCATACATAGCACTGAACCAGAGTAGTACCTGGGTTTGCTTTGAAACATGGACGCATCAAGCCATCCTTGGTAACGATCTCGTACAAGGGATGTGACATTTGGAAAAACTCTGGCTTTCTCGCGGACACAATCACCTGTAAGCTTCCAAGGACAGAAATCAGAATAAAAAAGGTACATTGTATGTTACCATGTCAAATAGATCCCTCCAGTCCATGTTATTAGGAAGAAACTGATTGTAAGCGTACTGCATCATTTTGCTAGTGTATTGATAGTCCGAGTTTGTGATTAGAAGAAGCTTTTTTCCTGCCTGAAATGGCACGAGAATAAGTAAAATGTAAGAAAAAGCGAAAGAGCTTATCACGTAAATATGTTTCACCTCTCTTTGATCCAAGAGTGTCAAGGGAAGCTCAGCATCAGGCTCTACAAAACGCTCTGGCTCGTTAACTATTTCAGCCTGCATGCTTGAAATGTGTGAGAAAAATAATCCCGAGTCAACTACTCACAGCACCTTCAATCTTCCTTCTACGTGAGCTCTGAAAAGGGCTTTCGCCACAACTTTGTAGAGGCTGTTGTAATCCAAGGGTCCAAGCTGTGGTGGTATAGCACCCTCATCCAATCTGTCAACCATCTGCACGATCAATCACACTCTTGTAACAAGAAACAAACAAACAACGATTCCCGCGAACCTGCATGTACATTACAGCCTCCGATACCGAGAACAGTGTGTTTAGAAACTCCCATCTGTTCTCGTTACGTAAGTCTACAAGCTCACGGCCATAGATTTCACTGCACCGAGGAATACAAGAACTCGAATCACTCTTGACGGAAACGAGAATCAATTACCTTATCGTGCGATTGGAAACCATTCTAGTCCCATGCATTGCTCTCTTTACGTAGCCAAATCGGTCGGCCTTCACGAGATTTCCCTTTTCCTTGTCCATGATAAGGCCTCGTATAACCTGGCCAGTTTAAAAGAATGTGAAAAACTCACGACAGCTACACAGAATACCAGCTCCGGGTCAAACTTCAGCCCATCTACTGGGTACCCCATGCTTCTCAAATTGTCCATACCATACTTGTATGCTCTCCCTTCCCAAGCCTGCAAGAAAGAGAGTTTCGAGAGAAATAAAAATCACAGGAGAGAAAGAACTTACATTGACATTATACTGAATCAAAGTGTAGTCCATGTCGTAGCCAATTGCTGCGATGGAGCGAAGATTTAATGTCCTGCTACAGAAAATTCCTCGTGACGCTATTCCATGAGGATACTGTGCCTGTCAATAGAAAAGAAGAAAGAGTCTGTAAAAGAAGTAAATCTATCAGGAGAAACAAGAGAAAAAAAAAAAAAAAAGTTCATCAAAAACATACTGGAACATTTAGTTCTTCCAGAAGGCATTCTGCCTCGCGTGCTTCTTCTCTTGCGAGTTCTTCAATTGATCCGGGAGCCAGATCTACGCTTCCTGATAGAATAGAAAAACTACATTGTTAACAAATACTAGAGAATATAAACAGCGGGAGAACGATACCAAGATCTTCACGCTTGACGGTCATGTCTCCCATCGTGCTCTCGCCCAGATAATCAATGTCGAACTTGCTATCGCTCGAGTTCCTCACGACATCAAACTTATCGGCAACTTGCTCTCTTTTCCTACTCCCATTGCGCCTAGGACTACGATCATCATCCACGGTATTCTCATTCCCGCCCTTGGTCACCGACAAGACCCTCAGCTGAGCCAATGATCCCCTCCGGCTGGAAATCGGGGCCAAAATCCCACTCCTAGAGCTGCCGGAGCCATGATTCTTGGCGAAGACAATCGCGCCGACGACGCCCATTCTAGAATCGCGCATTGCCATACCTCAAAAGCCCCGATTCGTCGCCGAGACCTCGCGTTGCCCCAGGCGATGCCGAGAGCGCGAAGGACGAATCCTCTCCTCGCTCGATCGATTCTTTTGAGTGGGGCCAGTCACAGCCGTCGGATCGCAACCAACGGCAGCGATCTTCTCATCCATACCATATATATATCGTCAAACCCTTAGGGCAAGGGCTAGGGCTAGGGCAAGGGTCCATTTGAGCTTTTGCGGCGCAGGGAGCGAGAAGCGAGCGAGCAAGGATGAGGGCAAAGGTATGTCGCGCTAGAGATTCTTCTTTGCTCTAGATTCTTCTCTGAATCGCTTGTGTGCATTTCCAGTGGAAGAAGAAACGCATGAGGCGGCTCAAGCGCAAGCGCCGAAAGATGAGACAGAGATCCAAGTAGGAGGAGGGACGAGCCCGCGCCCGGTGAGTGCCAAGAGTGTCCACCCTTGGCACAAATCTTAGTAAAAGGTGTGGCGACATTCCTCCCGTTTTTCCTTTCTTCCAAGTCAAATGTATTCGAGGCTGTGAGCTCCATTTCAGTAAAATCTCACTTGATCTCGTTCATTGATCGATCGATTTGGTTCTTCAATTCTGATAGATTAACAAATTTCTGTTACAAGGAAACTATGCCCGTTCCATTAATGCGGATTTAGAGCTCAAAAAGATAAGCTAAGATCGATCGATTTGGTTCGATTCTGATAGATTCACAAAAATTTCTGTTTCAAGGAAAGTAAAGAGTCTACTCAAAAGAACATACGGCTTTCTATACGGCCGTAGAAATCTTAAAATACGAAGAGATCTCTCATTTTATATTAGTTCTAGCAACACAACGACCATCGCCAAAACCAATGCACGAAACCTCCAATGATTTCCGAGAAGAGAGGAAGAACTTTCTTGCCGGGAAGAAGCAGCGTCCCACCCCAACACCGACGGCGACGACGACAACGAAGAGCCATCGTCCTCGCACTTGGCGATGCCGAACGAATTGAGATCATCCAAGGCATCGTTTCTCTTGTCGTCGATCAATACATGGCAGAGCCCGGAGTTGTTCTTGACGACCAAGTTCCTCCCCAGCCGGCTAAAGAACTGGCGCGAGAAGGGGAGCTTCCCGGAGAGCCGGTTGGAGCTGAGATTGAGATGATAGAGCGCGCTCAATCCGGCCAGAGACGCCGGGACGCCGCCGCTCAGGAAATTCCCATCCAGCGCTAGGGAATTCAATCGCGGCAGCGAGCCAATGCTGTCTGGAATAGGCCCCGAGAGCCCGGAGCCCGATAGCGCCACCATCTCCAGCCCCCTGAGATTGCCCAGGAAGCCTGGAACACCGCCACCTAGCAGAGGATTCCCGCGCATGAAAAGATTTTCCAGTCCGGCTAGCGCCGCCATCGATCCGGGGATGCCACCGCTGAGATTGTTGTAGCTCAAGTCGAGGAATCGCAGAGGACTGGTGGAGCTGGGTAGAACAAGACCGCCCTGGATGCGATTCGAGCTCAAATCCATCTTCTCCAAGCTGGGAAGAGAGCCCACCTCGGGCGGGAAGGGGCCGGAGAGATCGTTGGAACTAAGATCCAGGATCATGAGCTTCGAGAGCCCGCCTAGGCTGGCGGGAATGCTACCAGAGAGAAGATTGTGGCTGAGAACAAGCTGCTTGAGATTGACAAGGCGCCCAATCTCCGTTGGGATTGATCCAACGAGACGATTCTCCGTGAGGACGAGGCGCTCCAGGGATGTGAGGTTGCCCAGCTGAGGCGGGATCTCTTCGGTTAGCGCACTGTTGTCCTGGAAAGTGAGATGGAGGAGTGACTTGAGCTGCGAGACCTCGGGCGGGATGCCCATGGGCTTGCCGAAGAAGCACTGATAGAAGAAGAGCTTGCGGAGACGCGAGAATTTGAGGATGGATCTGTGGATGGTGGCATTAGCGGCGCATGGGGGATTGTTGACGCTGTCCGACACCCAACCAAGATTGAGCTCCACGACGCGAAGCTTGCCATCGTCGGAGAGGTCGCAATTCACGCCGTGTGGGCCGCCAGTGCAGGGATTGTCGCCCGGGAAGAGCGCCCTCCAATCGATCTCGCTATTGATCGCGCCCAGGACGTCGAAGACCGCCTTGGCCTCCTCGGCGTCCATAGCCGGATCTTCGTTCACTGCTGCGTAGTCCAGTGATGATCCCCCATCGCTGCGAATCGAGGAGACTGACAGAGCGAGGACTAGATAGAACAGGAGTGATCTTTCGAGTAGGACGATGGAACCCATTTTACTTTCTTTTTTCTCTCCTTCTCGCGATTCGCTTGGACGGTACTACGCAACAACAGCACCCAAGCAAAAGAGGAAGGGAATGTCCCGCGATTGGGGAACAGCGCGATCCAACACGCGAGAGTGGTAGGGGAGCGTTATTAGAAAAATCGCTTTTTTACGCTCAAAAGGGGCAAACGACGCGAGCCCTGCTGATGGGCAGCGCGGATCTTTCGTGCTCGAAGTAGAAATGCGAAGAAGGATAGGAGGATACCATCGCGCGAGAGGGAGAAAGAGAGGATTACACACTGCTGGCAACCCAAAACGGACGATCAAGGGCTCGTTAAAAGCTTATCCCTGCAAGGAATTCCCCTGGTTGCAGAGAAATCGTCCGGTCAGACGGATCGGTGAATCAAAAAAGGGGGAAAGAAAGAGAGGAAAAAAGAGGAAGACAAAAGCTCTTTCGATCGATCATTCATCACCTGTTTGATGTGCTGGGTTTGAAAGCCACACGCATGCCGGCCAGGACCATTGCCCAGCAGAGCACAGGCCAGGCTTTTTTAACACCTCCTCGCAGCTTTGCTCTGTCCCTTCCTTCGTCTTCCTCGCTCTGAACACACTGGTCCCCAAAAGGAGGGAAGAAAGCAAAAAAAAATCCAACCGAAAACTCAATGCCCCCAAATCCGATGAGCGAGCGATTCACTGGAAGAGGGTTTTCGAATGCGCTCGCCCGAGCTCGCCAGATCGTTCTCTCTCTCGATCGCAAACTCGGCGCAGTGGTGTGGTGTTTTTACTGCCTCGTTGTGAAACGGGACTGGAGACCGTTAGGTTATATCGCTGTGATAAAGGAGCGCGAATATTCCCAGAGGTTCGCGCCACCGTTTTCGATTTTGACTTGGACAATGACCCTGATCCGAGCTTTCCATTTTCATCGCGTTAAATTACACACAAAACCATGTACTATGAGGGTATGGTTTTCTGGGCCCCCGTAATAGCGACCATGGCCATTCCGATACCAATCCAAACGTTTGATTCTTACCACATTGGAGCATTTTCTCGAGAATATGTTCTCGAGGAGGTGGTAAAAAATCTCTTCCTTTACTTTTTTACTTTTGGTTTTGGATGGTTCTTGGGTTTCGATGCAAATCCGTCGCTGTAGCGGCATTCAAGCCTTGCCCTTTCGGGGCAGCAAATGCCAGCGAGCGGCATCAAGAAAACAGGGGCCACAGAGCCCACAATTACGCATTTTGCTTGTTCTCTCGCGCTCTCTGGGCCGCCCTGTTACCAGAGAACCCGAATTAAACACTCAAAATGGATCGCTCGCAGCACTCGACCCACACAAAAGAAGCCCTTGCGGATCATAAAAGTGATCTTCTTTCTGGTTTTAGAGCCTGGCCCGGGAAAACCTTTGAATGCAACGTAAGTTATCTCGCTCGCTCACTCGCAATCTCTGCGTGTCGATCTCCATGGCTTGAATGAGAGATCTTTAGAAGCGCCGTAGCGAAGTTTAAAAACGAAAGATATATATATATATAAAAAACAAGGTGGTGGATCAATCAATCAAACAAAACAGCCCGTGACATACACCGCGCGATGAATGACAAATGCCCCGACTGGGCTTCTTGCGCAGGGATGGCGATGGGATTCAAGAATGGAATTTCTGCAACCGGCAAAAGAAACGTCTCGGTTGTCCCCCGCCGTCGGATGCGCGCGCGGGGCAGGACGGCGGAGATGCCGCTGCACGGAAGCCGCAGGACAAATACCCCTCCATTTGCGCGCAGTAAATGCCAATGGATAGGTGACTGCGCTCCTAGACGTACGGAAGAATGATTGATCGTTTTGTCACACAGCCCCATTCTTATCTTTCTTGCGTATACGAGATACAATAGGCTGGTTTTGCTTAGGCTTTAGGGATTCTTAGCGGATTTTTGGTTTTGCCGGAAGATTTTGCAAGGACGGTGGTGCATCCTCGAAAAGTTTTCCTCGCTTTGCTAGTTTAGGTTTCATAGCTGAAATAATCGACGCTGTGCTCGATCCGCCACACCGTCCTCGAAAACGAGGGGTGGAAGAGAGCGAAACGCAACGCCCGCGCGCGGCTTTAAAGGTGCATTGAGTACAGTAATTATCCTCTCCAATCACCACCACGCTATAGCTACGAGAGAGCTATTAGAAGATAAAGGTAGTGGAGTGGGGTGACTATTTGGGTCCATAGTAGCCTGCCTCGGTAAACGCCTGTGATGGCACTGTGACGGCAAATTCACGTGCCTATAAAATTATCCCAGACGCCGGTACACATTGCCGTCTGTAACGACATCAAAGAAAAGGGGCATATTCTGGGCGGATCGGGACGGCCGGTAACGGCATATGCTTAAGCATGTCCAGCGCGGCGCCGACGGCGACGTTACCGGTCACCCGCCGTACGACCGGTCAAGCGCCGTTTTCCGAGGAATAAGCGAATTTTCCTCTTTAACGGATAACTGTGGGCTCCGCTTTATTTCGTGTGGTTTTAAGGATTACATTAGTTGTCACTGTGAGCTTGCTAATGTCTTTTGTGTATTCAGCCATTCTTTCACGGTC